TATTATCTACTACTTAATGAAGGAAATCATACGGTATTTGGCCTTCTCCCTCTGACTTATTTCACTTTGCATTATACCCTCAATGTCCATCCATGTTGTCACAAATGGCTGGATTTTGTGACAATATTATTATCCTCTTTTACATTTAAGGCTGCTGGCCTCAGAGAGATCAAATGTAAGGCTACAAAACTATTGCATGGCAACCACAAGATTCTGAGGACACCAGAACCTGGACGCTTAACCAGGCTACTATGCTCCAAAAGTGAAAATATGGACAGTGCTAAAGGCCAGAGTGAGAAACATTTAGAGCTCTGGGTGAATTATTGGAACACTCAATTCACATAGTCCAATGGCCCCAATAGGGCTTAAGGAGGATCCAGTTTGAAAGCGCCTCACAGGATTCTGGTCTGAGTCAAGAGGAACATCAGAAAGTGAAACTATTCTATACACATACACAGACACACACACGTGTGCACGCATGCACACATTGCTTTATTTGAGGTTTAATCTCTCACTTTTTCCCTATCCCTTCTAGGTAAATTTAGTAGAGGTGTGAGGTTGTTACACCAATACAGACACCTCTACATTTGTAGTCAATCTCTCTCTCTCTCTCTTGCTCTCTCTTTCTTTCACACACATACACAACCCAACAAAAATATTGTTGAAGAGTGATTTCCTATTCTTGCTGACATATGCATGCCCTAGATGAAGATGGTCAGGGTACAAAGCTATTTCACACGACGTTCATAAATAAATATACTGTCTTGTATGCAAAACACTCACAATGCACAAAGAGTAATACGAAGAACTAGCAAACAGCACGTAATAGAAATGCACACATACAGGCACTCCCAGAAAGTCACAGATATTAAAATCACCACATTACACAGACATCATAGACATAACCACTAAAGCACAGGCATTGCTCAAAGGAGATTTCTAGCCTTGGCTGATCAATGCACATCGCATGTGGCAATTTTCCCTGTGTGTGTCAGTGACAACCATGGGTAGAAATATACAGAACATACACAACTGTCTCATATTCACACATCCACATGTTTACAGGAGCAGAATCCGGGCCCCTTCTGACATATGCTAGTCCTTAATAAGCTCAAATACTTTATGCTCTAGGCTGTTACCTTTATCCTCGCTTTCTGTCCAAGAGACCTAGGAGCCAGATGACAAGCCTTTCTGAGATGAGGACCTTCGCAGACTTGCGTGTCTGTTTACCAGGAACATAACAATGGGCAGGAGGGATTTATTTTACTGCAGAAAGAAGACACAGGGGGAAAGATACCTAGGATCCTCAATAAAGTGACAATCATCATGGGCTAATTGAACAAATTCCCGCTGGCCTCTTGGAGAGGAGCCTATGCAGGGACCAGAGGGGCTGAGCCACTGGAATCCTTGGAGACAATGTGTCTGATGTTGGTAACACTATGGGCTCCTTTCTGTCTGATCTCGTGGTTCCAGGTGGGTGGCAGGAGAGGACAAAGTCAGTCCAGGCCTCTTAAGTATCCACAATGATATAGTAAACCTGTCCCTGTATCACAGAGCAAGGCTCTTGTACCTCCTACACAAGCCTCCTCTAAAGCTCACAGGTCTCCCCACCACCTGGAGAGGCTCCTGTAGGGCAGAGTCTGTGCCTTGCTCAGAAGGTAGAAGAACGAAAGGATGGATCCCATGGCGTCTGGACAAAGACATTCCTTGTATTGAGTTTGGACTCTGACAGTTACTGTGAGCTCCTGAATAATTTAATTCAGTAATATAACATTCAGAGTCTTTAGTGTAACGTGGGAATAAGAATAGTACCTTCCTCATAAGGTTGTTGTGAAGAATAAATGAGACAATGCATATTAGAATTCTGGGACTTGGAAGTCCAAGTCCATCACAGTGCCTATACATGAAGACATTCAATAAATGTTAAGATATGTCACCAATAACTTTTAATCTCGGGGCACTTAATGAGCATTGGGAAATGATTAAATGAATTCATTCATTTATTATTTGTGAAAAATTTTTATTAAAGACTTCATAAAGATGACAATCTAGGCGATGGAATTAAATAGAAATATGTCATCTGGTAGAGCTTACATTTTAAGAGAAGGAAGCAAAAAAACCCCCCAAACAAACAAATCAATGTACAACAAAACAAAAACACAAAAATCAAAATAGTAAAATCCATGACGTGGCAATGGGTGAAAAGTGTCCTGGAGTAAAACAGAGCAGGGAAGGGGTACGAGGAGTGACAAGAAGCAGTTCAGATTGAAATAGGGTGGTCAAAGTAGGTGTCCTGAGAATGTGAGACACCAATGAAGAAATAGTTGATTAGAATGGGAAGTGTTTCATTAACCTTTCATTATCTGAGGAGGAAGCCTCACACTCCAACAAAGAATTTACTAAATCCACAGAAAATTGACCAGTATATGAAATCCTCATTTTGACATATCATTCTCAATGTCAACCCACAGTCGCAGCTGCCATCACTGTAATTGCTGGGATGGCTGCCTAAGATTTCCTCCACCTCTCAGAAATGCATGATT